GCTGGAGTATGTGTGGAAGTGATGCTTTTTGTCTTTGAGTAGTTGGATGAATTTCTCGTAGTAATCCCAACTCTCCGTTGTTACCGTTTTTGTTCCTTGTTTGCCCTTTTTGGTCTCAATTAAGAAACTTCCAGGTTGATTGTTTATTTCATTCGTCAATCTCTTGATTTCACCAGCTCCTCCTGTGCTGATGACAATTGGAGGTGGTTTTGATTTTTGTTGAGATTTGTTGTTGTTGCTTTCCGTGTTTACGGAAATTGTCTTTTGTTGCTCTGATGTTTTGCTGTTTTCTCCCCAGTACGAAGAAGTTGTCGATCTTTTTTTCTCCTGTTCTGGTGAACCAAATAGATACGGTACTCCAGAAGACGAAGCTTTCTTCACTGGTGGGAGTACGAACAGTGGTTTGTTCCCATCTTTTGGTTTGCTTTCGTTTGCTACTCTTTTTAAAAGAGCGTTGGGAACTATCACTTCTCGAGGGCGTTTTTCTGCTTTACTTGCTTCATTGAGAAACTTCTTTATTGATATTTGTTTTTTTGGTTTGAGATTTGTCATCTCAATGTCGGCTGCTTGTGAAACATCTTCACTGAAAATTTCCTCAATATTGAGAATTGTCACTGAAGATGAATGTTGTTGTTGAGAACTATTAAGTCCATGCTGATTTTGAGAAAGATTTTCTTCGTTGTTGGTAGTTTTTGGTGATGCTACCATTTTGATGTTTTGAGAATCAAACTGAGATTTTGAAACTTTTTGCAAACAAAAAGCTTCTCAGGTAGTCTCTGTTTTGTTTTTTTTGAGATTTTTGAATAATTTGCGGAGCGATTTGTAAACAGGTCTGTTCACGTTGAGATCTAGTTTGCAACTCGAATATGAATAGTATTAGTTGCAAGAAAAATTTAACGTTTTATTAATATATATTTCGAGAATGCTAACAAACGAAATGATTGTTTCATAAAGGTAACATTATAGTTTTAAATAAAAAAAGCATTGGAAAATCGAAAAGTTTAATAAAGTTATTTTTGGAGTTGAGAATAATAGAAATCATAGTTAGCATTAATGAAAAGTTGCTTCTGTGCTCTTACTGGATTAAGCTTCGAACGTTTCTTGTTCAATAATGCTCCACTTAAGGAGAAAGCATGTTCACAGAAAGAGGAAGTTACACTTAAGCCTAGCATGGTACGAGCTAAATTGTATAGGTTCGGGATATTTTGCTTATTTTGCTTCCAAAACAGTAAAATATCATCACTCCTAGAATATGACGAAGCAATCAGCATGTATCGGTCAATCTCATTTTCTATCATTCTTTCGCCAGCATCGAAACTATTAGAACTTTCTTCTGATTCAAGATCTTGAAGCATTTACAGTCGAAGGCGCTTTGCAGGACCAATTTCTTGAGTGGTATTATAATTATAATTAAAAAATCTTTGACGTTAATATTAATTTAATAAAGTTATATTTTGTTGACTAAAATACAGACATTATTTACTGACTTGATTTACTAATGATGAAAAAAATTTAAAAACAGATACGTTGCAAATATTCATCGGGCCTGGACGGATGTCAGAAATAGGCAATTTTCTCCATATTTCTGTTTTCCTTGACATTTGTCCAAACGTTTAATTATTACTCTCTATTGGTTGGCTTTTAAAATTTATTTAATTGTTTTGGAAACATAATTAAATGAATACAATAAAGTTTTGGAATTTTTAATGGTTTTGAAATTTTTAAATTTTTGATGCATGCGATAGATAGATTCTCGTTAAAATTTTCTTCGAAATACTTGTTTTTGACTATTTTAATGAAAATTATAGTTAGAAACAAATGAATTAACTTAATTCTTCTTTCCAAAGTGCCGAATTAACCTTTTTCATGCCAAATTGCAGTAAAAATATTCACTCACCAAAATTGAAATATGAAATTTTAAAATGCAGTGTTTAAAGTTTCTTTCCAAAATGCAGTGATTAAAATTTCATGCCAAAGTGCAGTGATTTTAAAATTTCATGCCAAAGTGCAGTGATTTAAAGTTTCATGCCAAAGTGCAGTGATTTTAAAGTTTCATGCCAAAATGCAGTGATTAAAATTTCATGCCAAAGTGCAGTTTTTTTAAAATTTCATGCCAAAATACAGTGATTGAAATTTCATGCCAAAGTGCAGTGATTTTAAAATTTCATGCCAAAATGCAGTGATTAAAGTTTCATGCCAAAATGCAGTGATTTAAAGTTTCATGCCAAATTGCAGTAAAAATATTCACTCACCAAAATTAAATATGAAATTTCATAAATTTTCATAAAATATGCCAATTACTGTAAGGTTTCGAACTGTTTCTTATTTGCTTTAAACTTATCAATGTTTTTCACTACTATTTACACAATAATTACCTCTTAATCACTGATTTTTCACATTTTATTTAATTTTCAATTCACAATGCTTTTTGTACACAAAACTAATCCATGTATATTGAATATGTAATTTTTTCATGGATTTTAATAAATTTTCTATTTGAATTTAGAATTCTCGTTGAAATTTTCTTTGGAATACTTGTTTTTGACTATTTTAATGAAAATTATAGTTAAAAACGGTACCCAGTAATAACGCCGACACGGAATAACTGCACCTATTAAAAAAAACACGGTACCGGAATAATATCGAAAATATTTTTTGCTCAGGTCGGTAATAACTTCACCTACTTAATATAAGTGAAGTTATTACCGCTTCATACCGGAATAACTTCACCTACATAATATAGGTGAAGTTATTCCGTCGCGGCGGCGGAATGATGCCGAAAAATATTGTATGTCGACTTTATTCCGTCACTGTGCAGGAATAACTTCACCTATATTTATATATATTAATGTGATAAATTTCTGAATTATCACGCTTTCCAGAAACTATAGAAAAATCCATTTTTAATTAAATTTCACACAATATAAAAGATCAACAAAAAAAATTAACTGAACGAACTAAGTCAAATTTGTTGTCAATTGTGTTCAAACAATAAACTTAAGCCATTGAACATCAAGAATGACACGAAATAATCTTAATGTGCTGCATACCATGTTTGTTTTTTTTTTGCGAAAAAAGGGAGCATTAAAGTAGTTAAAATTTTGGTGATGTAAATTTTGGTGATTATCATTCAACGGAAACTTTAAAAATGAAGTGTTTCAAAAATGCAATTTAACTAAGCTAAAACTTTATGAAAATCAGAAAGACATATTCATTTACTTCTATATTTTTACAAACAACGTTTCAATATAAGAAATTGTTGTTAATTAAAGTAAGGAGACATAAATTTTCATCAGAAGAATTGATTTTTCTTCTCAAACTTACATTAAACTCACTCTAATTATCAATTAGGATGATAAAATGAGTTATTTTCTATAGAATCTGTTGCATAGGATAGACAGAATAATTCTGCAGAATTCTGCTCAACAGTTGCGCAACAATTCAATGTTGCGTGACATGGATGTAACAAAACCAGAATAATTCTGAAGAACTTATTTTTATTCTGCAGAATTTTTCTGCTAAATTTTTTTCAGAATTTCACAAAACAAATCAGAAACATTTTTTTCCAAATTCTCCATAATTAAAATTTCTGATAAACAACTTTATGAGAATGTGATTAAAAACACAATTACAAATTAATATGGAAATTAAAATAGGAGTACAACATTTTTCAGAGTTCTGAACACAATTCAATTCAATTTCAATTTATTCATGTTAAATTGTGCAACAGTGTGCAACCTTTAAGCGCTACACTTTTATTTTTAACATTAATTGTTGTATAATAAGAAAATCATAGTAAACATGATATGAAATCCAGTTAATAAACATATCTCAAAGATATAACATTAATAATTCTTAAATCTTTATTATGTACGCTAGCTCAGTGTTTAGCGCATAATCTTCACTAAGCAGTTGTGTGTCTAGTACCCAATTAAAAACTGTTATAGATCTTTACAGCTCTCGTATCTTCCTCATTCTGTCTACATAATTCTTGACTCATTTCCACATCTCACATTGCCTAATTCTTAGTTTTACGTCTTAAACTGCTGCACCTAAGAAGCCGAAGTATCTAAACTTCTGAAAATCACTAGGCTGGTGATGGGATTTGAATCCGAGAGTGCAAATTCGACTCGAAATTTTGTGACCTGTACCTTGCCAATTGAGCAATAAAAATCTAGTAACTTTACTTTTAAAAATAATCGTGTCGAATTCGATCTCGAAAATTGAATATTCAAAAATTTCATCAAATTTTATACGCTTTTGTATATAATCTTCAATTGAAGTTTTAATAATGAATAATTTTTTGGAACTATTCAAGGCTTTAAATGTTAAATCAATTCTGTTTCAAACTTAGTGAAACACTGAAAAATGTTGTACTCCTATTTTAATTTCCATATTAATTTGTAATTGTGGAAAAACAAAGTCTTTAATCACATTCTCATAAAGTTATTCATCAGAACTTTTAATTATGCAGAATTTGGAAAAAATGCTTCTGATTTGTTTTGTGAAATTCTGAAAAAAAAAATTCAACAGAATAATTCTGCAAAATAAAAATAAGTTCTTCAGAATTAATCTTCAGAATTATTATGTTGTTCTCAGAATTATTCTGCAGAATTTATCAGAATAATTCTGCAGAATTGTTGCGAAACTGTTGAGCAGAATTCTGCAGAATTATTCTGTCTATCCTATGCAACACACCCTTATCTATCATTTGATATGCATGTGATGAAACAAAAAGTTTGTTGAATGAAATTTCGATTTTTTGCTGAAATTTTTTAAAAAGTCATCCAAAGAATTGCCCATTGCCCTTTTGCTTTGCTTTTGTTCAGAAAGCAAGCAATAGCATCCAAATTTTATCGTTTTACATAAGTATATTAAGTCTCTGGAACGTTTAAATTGCTGAAAATTGAGAAAAATTATTTCAAAAACGAGATTGCCCATTTGTAAATTTCAAATTGTATTACGAATTCACTGCCACATCTATATAAATATAGGTGAATTTATTCCTGCACAGTGACGGAATAAAGTCGACATACAATATTTTTCGGCATCATTCCGCCGCCGCGACGGAATAACTTCACCTATATTATGTAGGTGAAGTTATTCCGGTATGAAGCGGTAATAACTTCACTTATATTAAGTAGGTGAAATTATTCCGTCGCGACGCCGGAATAACTTCACCTACATTATACAGGTGAAGTTATTACCGACCTGAGCAAAAAATATTTTCGATATTATTCCGGTTTGATGTTGTGGAGTTATTCCGTGTCGGCGTTATTACTGGGTATCATTTATATTACCTCGATAAGTTTTAAAAAGCAATTTAAAGCATTTTTGGTTTTGATCATAGTAGGCTATTTTCAAAAAAATATCGTTTTTATTTCTATATTAGCATTCTTTATCATTTATATTACCTCGATAATTTTTAAAACGCAATTTAAAGCATTTTTGGTTTTGATCATAGTAGGCTATTTTCAAAAAAATATCGTTTTTATTTCTATATTAGCATTTTTTATCATTTATATTAGCTCGATAAGTTTTAAAATGCAATTTAAAGCATTTTTGGTTTTGATCATAGGAGGCTATTTTCAAAAAAATATCGATTTAATTATCTATATTAGCATTCTTAATCATTTATATTACCTCGATAAGTTTTAAAATGCAATTTAAAGCATTTTTGGTTTCGATCATAGTAGGCTATTTTCAAAAAAATATCGATTTAATTATCTATATTAGCATTATTTATCATTTATATTCCCTCGATAAGTTTTAAAATGCAATTTAAAGCATTTTTGGTTTTGATCAAAGTAGGCTATTTTCAAAATAATATCGTTTTTATTTCTATACTAGCATTCTTTATCATTTATAATACCTAGATATGTTTTAAAATGCAATTTAAAGCATTTTTGGTTTTGATCATAGTAGGCTATTTTCAAAAAAATATCGATTTTATTTTTATATTAGCATTCTTAATCATTTATAATACTTAGATGTGTTTTAAAATGCAATTTAAAGCATTTTTGGTTTTGATCATAGTAGGCTATTTTCAAAAAAAATATCGTTTTTATTTCTATATTAGCATTCTTTATCATTTATATTACCTCGATAAGTTTTAAAATGCAATTTAAAGCATTTTTGGTTTTGATCATAGTAGGCTATTTTCAAAAAAATATCGATTTTATATCTATATTAGCATTCTAAGTCATTTATAATACCTAGATATGTTTTAAAATGCAATTTAAAGCATTTTTGGTTTCGATCATAGTAGGCTATTTTCAAAAAAATATCGATTTTATACCTATATTAGCATTCGTAATCATTTATAATACTTAGATATGTTTTAAAATGTAATTTAAAGCAGTTTTGGTTTCGATCATAGTAGGCTATTTTCAAAAAATATCGATTTTATATCTATATTAGCATTCTTAATCATTTATAATACCTAGATATGTTTTAAAATGCAATTTAAAGCATTTTTGGTTTTGATCATAGTTGGCTATTTTCAAAAAAATATCGATGTCATTATCTATATTAGCATTCTTAATCATTTATAATACCTCGATAAGTTTTAAAATGCAATTTAAAGCATTTTTGGTTTTGATCATAGTAGGCTATTTTCAAAAAATATCGTTTTTATTTCTATATTAGCATTCTTAATCATTTGTAATATTTAGATAGGTTTTAAAACGCAATTTAAAGCATTTTTGGTTTTGATCATAGTAGGCTATTTTCAAAAAAATATCGTTTTTATTTCTATATTAGCATTTTTTATCATTTATATTTGCTCGATAAGTTTTAAAATGCAATTTAAAGCATTTTTGGTTTTGATCATAGTAGGCTATTTTCAAAAAAATATCGATTTAATTATCTATATTAGCATTCTTAATCATTTATATTACCTCGATAAGTTTTAAAATGCAATTTAAAGCATTTTTGGTTTTGATCATAGTAGGCTTTTTTCAAAAAAATATCGTTTTTATTTCTTTATTAGCATTCTTTATCATTTATATTACCTCGATAAGTTTTAAAATGCAATTTAAAGCATTTTTGGTTTTGATCATAGTAGGCTATTTTCAAAAAAATATCGATTTTATATCTATATTAGCATTCTAAGTCATTTATAATACCTAGATATGTTTTAAAATGCAATTTAAAGCATTTTTGGTTTCGATCATAGTAGGCTATTTTCAAAAAAATATCGATTTTATATCTATATTAGCATTCTTAATCATTTATAATACCTAGATATGTTTTAAAATGCAATTTAAAGCATTTTTGGTTTCGATCATAGTAGGCTATTTTCAAAAAAATATTGTTTTTATTTCTATATTAGCATTCTTTATCATTTATAATACCTCGATAAGTTTTAAAATGCAATTTAAAGCATTTTTGGTTTTGATCATAGTAGGCTATTTTCAAAAAAATATCGATTTAGTTATCTATATTTGCATTTTTAATCATTTATAATACCTAGATAGGTTTTAAAATGCAATTTAAAGCATTTTTGGTTTCGATCATAGTAGGCTATTTTCCAAAAAATATCGTTATTATTTCTATATTAGCATTCTTAATCATTTATAATACTTAGATGTGTTTTAAAATGCAATTTAAAGCATTTTTGGTTTTTATCATAGTCAACTATTTTCAAAAAAATATCGATTTTATTTCTATATTAGCATTCTTTATCATTTATATTACCTCGATATGTTTTAAAATGCAATTTAAAGCATTTTTGGTTTCGATCATATTAGGCTATTTTCAAAAAAATATCGATTTTATACCTATATTAGCATTCTTAATCATTTATAATACCTAGATATGTTTTAAAATGTAATTTAAAGCAGTTTTGGTTTCGATCATAGTAGGCTATTTTCAAAAAAATATCGATTTTATATCTATATTAGCATTCTAAGTCATTTATAATACCTAGATATGTTTTAAAATGCAATTTAAAGCATTTTTGGTTTCGATCATAGTAGGCTATTTTCAAAAAAATATCGATTTTATACCTATATTAGCATTCTTAATCATTTATAATACCTAGATATCCCGAATAGACAAAGAGCGTGCTCACTTTTGTGAGCACGTTAATGAGCATACTCAAAATCATCATTTAACGTGCTCACCTGAGCACACTCAGTTGAACATGCTTGTGAGCACATTGTGAATATGCTCACAAAAAAACAAATTTTTTGAAATTTTTTATTTTATTGAGCATGCTCGAGAGCATACTCAATTCCTAAATCTAAGCATGCTCACTTGAGTACACTCTTAAGCATACTCGTGAGCACATTGTGAATATGCTCACAAAAAAATCAATTTTTTTAAATTTTTCATTTTATTGAGCATGCTCGAGAGCATACTCATTCTTGAGAGCATGCTCATGAGCATACTCAATTACCAAACTTAAGCATGCTCACTTGAGTACACTCTTAAGCATACTCGTGAGCACATTGTGAATATGCTCACAAAAAAAACAATTTTTATAATATTTCACATTTTATTGAGCATGCTCATGAGCATACTCAATTCTCAAATTTAAGCATGCTCACTCTTAAGCATACTCGTGAGCACATTGTGAATGTGCTCTAAAAAAATATTTTTTTTTAAAGATTTCACATTTTATTGAGCGTGCTCAAGAGCACATATATTGAGCATACTCTGAGTATGCTCATGATTTTGTATATACTTCACAAGTCAAAGTTTCTAGAATTATATATAGTTATCTACTTTTTAACTATAAACATTGTTTAAAAACATTTTGAGATCAATTTCGAAGTATTTAACTTTGTTATAGTTTATATATGAGTTTTTGCCATAACAAAGTATAAAGGTAAATTGCAGCAGTGGTGAAATGGTTATGGTAATGGACTTAGCAACAGAGCGGTCGTGAGTTCGAATCCAGGTAAAATCCAAAATTTTCTTAAGTGTTTTTTTCAGATTATTAATGAACAAAATTTATTCTAGAACATTAAAAAACTCTACAACAGTAAAATATGTCAAAAAAATAATTTCAAAATTTAATTTTTTTGAAAATTATGAAATAATGTGAGTACACTCAGTGAGCATGCTCAGAGTACACTCACGAGCACACTCACCGAGTGTACTCAAATGTCACATCATATGACATAAAAAATGTTGCATGTCACACAACAATTTGAGCATGCTCAAAATTTGTTAAAATAACGTGCTCAGAGCATGCTCAAAAAACGTGCTCATTAGCGTAAAGTAGTGGCATCACTTTTCGTATGAAAGAGCACGCTCACGCGAGCATGCTCAGCACTGAAATTGAGCGCGCTCATAGCGTGCTCTTTGTCTATTCGGGTATGTTTTAAAATGTAATTTAAAGCAGTTTTGGTTTCGATCATAGTAGGCTATTTTCAAAAAAATATCGATTTTATACCTATATTAGCATTCTTAATCATTTATAATACCTAGATATGTTTTAAAATGCAATTTAAAGCATTTTTGGTTTTTATCATAGTTGGCTATTTTCAAAAAAATATCGATGTCATTTACCATATTAGCATCCTTAATCATTTATAATACCTCGATAAGTTTTAAAATGCAATTTAAAGCATTTTTGGTTTTGATCATAGTAGGCTATTTTCAAAAAATATCGTTTTTATTTCTATATTAGCATTCTTAATCATTTATATTACCTCGATAAGTTTTAAAAAGCAATTTAAAGCATTTTTGGTTTTGATCATAGTAGGCTATTTTCAAAAAAATATCGTTTTTATTTCTATATTAGCATTCTTTATCATTTATATTACCTCGATAATTTTTAAAACGCAATTTAAAGCATTTTTGGTTTTGATCATAGTAGGCTATTTTCAAAAAAATATCGTTTTTATTTCTATATTAGCATTTTTTATCATTTATATTAGCTCGATAAGTTTTAAAATGCAATTTAAAGCATTTTTGGTTTTGATCATAGTAGGCTATTTTCAAAAAAATATCGATTTAATTATCTATATTAGCATTCTTAATCATTTATATTACCTCGATAAGTTTTAAAATGCAATTTAAAGCATTTTTGGTTTTGATCATAGGAGGCTATTTTCAAAATAATATCGTT